TAGATAGATAGATAATAGATAGATAGATAGATAGATAGATAGATAGATAGATAGATGATAGATGATAGATAGATAGATAGATGATATATAGATAGATAGATAGATAGATAGATAGATAGATATAGATATAGATAGATATGATTATATATATGATCAAAATACATTGTGTACATGTGTGAAATCCTCAAAGAATGCATTTAAAATATATTTAAAAAATTAAGAAGGAATTGATACATAAAATTTTGAAAAGCTATCACAACACAGAATTGTGGTCCCTCCTGTGAACTGGAGCTGTGGTACCCAACCATGAGGCAGAGTGGTGGGCTGATGGTGGAGCAGATTGGAGCATGGAAACTTTCCAGTGTTGGGCAGCATTTTCAGCCTTCTCTGAGCTCCAGGTCGTGCAGTGCATGCCAGTGGCTTTGCTTCTGTGTTGGGCTTATGCTGGGGACAGGGGAGGTTTCTGTCATTTGTAGTTTCTAGTCTTGGGAGCATTGATTCTCTAGAATGGACTTCCCACCTCCCTTGATGGCCAGTTTTGATCTTGACTCCACATGTGTTCCAGGGCACTCAGACCTTCCTTGATATTGGACCGACCCCATTCCGAGGCACCAGGAGGTCTTCCATCATTTTTCTGTTACTCTTCTACAGCCCCAGTCTATCTTTACCTGTGCCCCACAGAAAATGTAAAATGCCCAATTGAACTTCTAGAGATAAAAATGACAGTCTGGGAAGTTAAAAATAAAAAATATAAATAAATCCTCCATTAGAGGATGCAGAATAAAACAAAAAAGCTATCACAAAGGTTTGTTTAAATTCTGAATTGATAGTTTTGAATTGATGGGATATATAACATCTGTTAATGCAGCAAATAAAAATATTCATAATTCATTTTGATGCTGCACTGAAGTTTCTGCAACACATGGAAGACAGATTTAAAATTGCTTTTCACAAAGAGGTCATGTTCAAAAGGCTCAATTCTTCCCTATAACAAGAGATGATTTTTGGAGGCTGCCCAGGACCCCTGAAAACCATCCCCAGCAGCTTGGGTTTCATAGTAGAGGCCTTCAGAGAGCAGGTGCATTTGATTAAAGATACTACTGGTTTCTCATGAAAGCATTCATGAATAAATTCAATAGTAATTTAATGGGTGCTCTGCATGGGAGGTGTTAGGATAAATACTGTTGCTGTCTTATTTTGTGATTGTTTCTGTCTAGGACCCACAGATCTCAGCATGAAGAGGCAGCTGGCGACTGGCTCTGGATCCTCCAGCAGTTCAAACTCCAGACCTCAGCTGAGTCCAACGGAAATCAATGCTGTGAGACAGCTTGTAGCAGGATACCGAGAATCGGCTGCGTTCCTGTTGCGTTCTGCAGATGAACTGGAAAATCTCATTTTACAACAGAACTGAGTTAAACAGTGGTCTTGTCGCACTATCCTTTAAGGGAAATACTTCCATTATGCCACGTTGTTCTCGATGCATAAACTGATGTGTTCAAGGAGCTTTGGAGGAACTCTAACCTTGACCTTGACGTACCTGAGATACTTAAATGTGCCCAGCCTGTCGCTTTTGTTTGGTGTGCCAGCATAAATATCACAGGCAATTTTTTTAACAAGGCTGCATATTCTTAATTCAAGGATAAAATGAAGAAGCCGGTGGTATAAAAAAACAAATAGTTCAAGATCCAACTGAAACATTAGTGGAATTTTCTACTGACTTGTTGGACTGAAAGCTGAAGTATCTGGAAAAAAAAGCCAAATTTCTTGTTGCTACAGGAAATAACAACAATGAAAAGGATCTTGTATTTTAAAAAATAGGTAATTTTTATAAAAAAGAAAACTTGTTTTTCATTCAAAATTGTCATTTTTACTTTGGTAACTTTTTCATAGGTCCTAAAAGAAAACTGTTTTTGAGAAACTCCTGTAAGTACCTTTCCCACATCCCTTCTGCCTTCTCTTTCCAAATTCTTTCTACAAAAAACAAAAATAAAAACAAAAAACCCCCACAAAACACTGGATGCTGGAAAACCCCTTGCCTAAGTTCTTTAAAGCGTGACATCAGGAACCACTTCCAAGAAGCCTGCATTTCTACACCCAGGCCACAGGGCAGCTTTACCACAGCAATTTTCATCACAGAACTTTTTAAACATTAACAAAAGACGTGTTGAAAAAACAACCCACCACACCTTGCTCCCCTTAGATCTGCGCACTCCTGGTTGCCAATGCTGTCTTACAAGAGCCCCCTCCAGAGCAGCAAGTGGATGCAGATGACTGAATGTTAGAGGTCGCAAGTGACAATCTGAAACTTTGCACTCGTGTAGTTTTCTTTTCATTTCTCTTTCAGAAATAGTTTCCAGAAAAAGGCCATTATGTATCCTGATATGATTTATATAATTTACCTTTTTTAGCTAAAATTAAGAACTCTCAGAGCATACAGCTGTAACTTAAAATGAACTGTTCCCTCCTGTCCCCACCCTCTGCCCATCTTTTCTTCTTTTCCTACCTAGTGTTGGACACATATGAGTGGTGTTTTCTTTGTGCACTGAGGCAAGCCTATTTTTAAATATTTAGATAGAAGTACTTTAGTTCATGTGTATACGATTTTCCTTTCTGTTCCTCAGCTTTGGTTGGATTACAAATTCTTTGTGCATTCTTGAATTTGCCTTATTTCATGTAAAATCTATGTCATTCAGTTTGGGACAATGAGTCGAAGACATCAGTGATATTTCTTATCTACTTGTTATAGTTTTCCAAGTACTGACTGTGATTGTGACTGGGTAATGTGCACTCCCTCTTGTAACTGTGGACATTGCTATGCTTTTTTCTTCTAGTGTTTCTAGAATTATTGTTCCTTACAGTTATGTAAACAAAAAAAAAAAACAAAAAAAGAGAAATTTTGTGATACTGTTGGTGAATATAATGTGAAAATCTTATTGAAATATGAGTATTTTGGAAATACATACATGTACAAACATCTTTTAAAGGTGAGGATTTAGAGTTTGCATATTTAATGAAAATTCAAAAATTGAGGGCTGGTATAATTTTCTCTGTTTTGTTTGGTTTAATAAACAGATTTCTGTGTTAAAACAATGATTCTGAAAACTTACAAACTTTTCCTGTGTGCGTGTTGCTAGGGATCAAGCCCAAGACTTTCAGCATGTGAGGGGCATGCTCTTCCTCTACTCCCCCTACCCTATAATGCTAACTTTTTAGCAGTTTGTTATATGCTATATTTTGCTATATTTGACAGAAATTGCTATTCCAAACTTATTTTCCCTAATTATCCCAAAGCCTCCAGCATCTCCACTCAGACTCATGAAGACTGTCTTTGAAAAAGAAGAGGGAGATCAGCAAGGTCAGGCTACTGCAGTTGATCGTTTAAATATAATTTAAGGGTAAATTTTTCATATCTTACTCCTCATTTTTTCAGTATAACCCCCCTCTTTGAAGCTTTCCTAACTGAAGGAGAAACAATGTTGCAAAAATTGTTTCAGTACTTAGGGAAATGGCTCAGTGGGTAGTGGGTGAAGTGTTTGCTGTGCAAGCCTAAGGCTCTGAGTTCCCTAACACCCCCTCAAAAATCCGAGTGTGGCTGGAGGTGCCTCTAATTCCAAAACTGGGGGCACTGATCAGCCAGTCTAGTGGGAGTCTCGGTGCAAGTCTTAAGGTGGATTGTGATGAAGTCACCCCATGTTGACCTCTGACCTTTACATACATGTCTGTGTGTGTGTGTGTGTGTGTGTGTGTGTGTGTGTGTATGTGTGTGTGTGACCAAGAAATAAAAAGTGCCTGCTTCGTATGCTGCCTTTTTCATCTGGCTCACAAATCAGCACTCAGACGAGTTTGGCACTTACAGCAACGCATTCTCCAGCTCGATGGGGAAATGGAGAACCAACCACAGTGCTGAGTCTCTGGGAAGGAGCACTCCCTGCTTTATCAGTCCTGCACACGGTCCTCCTCGTGAAGGACCCACGTCCCCAGTGTCTGCTTTCTTCACGTACTCATGCACATGACTACGGACACCAGAAGTCCACTCATCTGCCTGGGAAAGCGGACAGGAGAAAATGAAGCCGCTCCTTACTTGACCTCCATGACTTGGCCCTGCAGAGCAGCCTAAACTTGCTTTACTATCTGTCTTGGTGGGATAGAGAGACCTGTCTACAAAACACTGGTGACAAGGATTAAGAGTCACAGTCCCTCAAATGAGGTAAAAACCTGTCACCAAACAGAGGTCACATAGCAGCTCCTGTCCCCTCACACAGTCATTGAGATGGCTCAGTGGGTAAAGGTACCTTCCAGGAAGCCTGATGACTGAGTTTGATCCCTGGGACCCATGTGGTGGAAGGAAAGAACCTAATCTCCACAAACCACTACACATGTGCTGTGACACACACATACACACACACACACACACACACACACGTGTTCGTTACATAAAAGTTGTATCAGTCAGCGTTCTCCAAAGAAACAGAACCGGTAGAATGAATATATATGTATAGAGATTTATCAGCTTAGCTCACAGGATAGAGTCTGAGTAGTCCAACAATGGCTGCACCACACTGGAGAGGCTGAGAATCCGTAGTCGTTCAGTCCATGAGGCTGGATGTCTAAGTGGTCCCAATCTGGCGCTGAAGGTCTAACAAATTCCAAAAGATCAGCTAGTCTTCAGTCTACCGGTGAGAGAGAAGGCAAGCAGCAAGAAGCCTGGCGTTCTCCTCTGCCATGGTCCTTTATATGGGCTGCCATCATAAGGTAACACCCACATTTAGGGTGTGTCTTCCAGCTTCAGATGATCCAATCAAGACTATCTCTTTATTTCAGTTAATCCCAGATCCAGTCAAGTTGACACCCAAGATTAGCCATCACAAGTCCACCTCTTGTCAACTTGACACACAATAGCATCTCTCTCTCTCATGCTTAATTTTCAAATGAAAACAATGTTGAGGTCATAATTTCACCTAACATGATATAACTATCCCATCATCCAATGACCAATGCATTATATATCTTAGAGTAGGTGATATGGTCCTCGAGGAATGCTTAGTCCTTTAGTGTCTCATAACCCAATATGGTTATGGTCTTATAACCCAATATGGCCCAGTGGGTAAATGTACCTCCCAGGAAGCCTGATGACTGAGTTTGATCCCTGGGACCCATGTGGTGGAAGGAAAGAACCTAATCTCTGCAAACTGTCTCTTGGCCACTACACATGTGCTGTGACACAGACATACACACACACACACACACACACACACACACACACACATGTGTACGTCACATAAAAGTGTAATAAAATGGACAGGAAAGCATACCCTGAAGTGGCTACAGAGAGCAGAAGCAGGAGCAGGCGCTGCTAATACAACAGGGGATGTCCACCGTGCACTGAGTTTCTACACAGGAAAGGATAGCCTGTGTCCTGTACATCTCACAGTGACCCTGGGGGCTTGGCACAGTCACTCTCTGTTTTACAAAGTAGGCTCAGCAAAGGGGCATTCTTGCCAAGAGCATGAAGATATTCTGAACCAAGCATTTAACCAGCCATTCCTGGAGATGAGCTGTCTGTGGGTCACTGCTGTCCTCTGCTCCTCTCAAGTATTAAATGTGTTCACGGCACCTTGGAATCAGGGTTTCATGGGATGTTAGCAGTTTTAGTTTTTAGACGAATCACAGTTACTTAAATGATTTGACTAAACATAGAATTTTACCCTTCTAGAGTAGTTTAATTTCCTTTATGTTATGTCCTCTACAAACACAAAGATCTGCAGTAAGCTTACCAAAAACTGATGATCAAATATATGTGATGTGACAGGAGGCGGCTTTGAGTTCAACAGTGAGTTCAAACATTAATCATTTAAAATTTTTGACAGAGACTTTCCATGTGCCCCAGAATGGCCTGTGGTTTGTGGTCCTTCTCCTGAGTGCTAAGATTGCAGATGTGTGCCATCACACTGGCACCAAAATTGAATCTTGTAAGGAAAGATTCAAGAACCATCCATGGGAACTCACAAAAAGCCTTGTTATACGTTCAGACACCATGAGTGCAAATGGCAGTCAAAGATTAACCTTTTATGTCAAAAATATTTCCTGACTTTATATGACTCATGTTTCAAATTCTAGTTTACACGAAAAACATCACAAAATAAAATGGGTCTTCAATAGCATTTAACTTTTATAGCAGACATTTGATAACAGAGGAATTAAGTACATGCTACTCTATAGAACTTTACTGAGTCTATCTCCTCTTAGGGTTTGGGCCTCTGTCTTCAAGCGCAGGGCAAGAGTCCACTTCCTTCCAACTCCAGCTTCTTTAAACTTTCTAATTTTTTTTTCCCTGAGACAGGATCATATGTGGCCCAGGCTACCCTCAAACTCACTATGAAGCAGAGGATGGCCTTGAACTTCTGCTCCTCCTGCCTCTACCTCCCACGGGCTAGGGTGACAGGCAGTTGACACAGTGTTGGGCCTTGAATCCAGGGCTTCCTGCATGCAAAGCAAACCCTCTACCTACTGTGCTACAAAACCCAGGCTTCCAATCCAGGTTCTACAGCCCACCTACATTCCTTGATGGTCCCTTCCTCCATCCTCAAAGCCAGAAATTCAAATTCAAGTCCTCTCTGAAACTCTGACCTCGTCTTCCTCTTCCAAAGCATTTTGCTCTCATGAGTACACTGTACCCCACTGGTTTACACAAGATAGTCTCTTTATATTAAGGTCAGATAATTAGCAACCTTAATTCAACTTACAAATTTAATTCCTTAATTTGACATGTAACAAA